GTGCTTTTTGGAAGAGATAGGGCTAATAATTCAGAAACACCACTACGGTAATGCAGGAATTTAAATTTTATTGGATTTTAATAACTTCAAAGTAATTAACTGCCATGAAAGACAAATGGCATACTTATTTAAGGAAATCGTTTTCCTATTGGTGGGGAAACAACTTTCTGGAGAAGGACACTTTAAGTTATCTCTATTACCCTCAACGACTAAATAGCACATTTATTGTTCATGCACAGTGGGGTGTGCGATAGACTTACCTCCGCGTGGTGCACCCTGGGCAACGTATTCTCATACGGCAAAAAAGTCTATTAACCGGCAGTTGACCTCTGACCCCACTGTATGTCATATTCGACCACTTCCACAGTACTACATCACAAATTTTCTAAATTTTCAACCTTCGGCTTTGAAACACTCTTCTGTTCCCCTCCTCACGACTTTTTTTCAATTTGATCTTCCTCCTCCTCTCTGTGAAGCCTGAAGTCAACTAAAGGGCTAATGATAACCATCAAAACGCCTGCCATTTGATATAAATAAATAAATATAAATAAATTGTTCATGCACAGATGATCACCGATTCCATAATCTCTTACTTCGTTGTGTGTATACTTACTGTTCATCAACTAAGTTTACTAACTCCACTCACTTGAATGAAAAGAAGAACACCGGTGATAAGAAATGTAACCAGTTGGGCAACAGGAAGATTTTGTTTGAAAATTGCAACGAGACTGTAGGCCAAAGGGAGACTGAGTATCCCACCAGACGCTGAGATGAGAAGAGACTTATAGCCTTCCTGCCGAAGTGGTTTACAACATTCGAATACTGCTCCAGAAGACGTCTGCTCAGTGGGCTGCAGAGTTGTGGCATTAAGTTTTCCCCAATCCTAAAATGGAAACAAAAATGAAAGCAATGATAAAAAATGTTTCAGTTTTGAAAGGAAAATAAATAGTTTTTATTTTGTCTGTCGTAAATTTCTCGATACTCGGCCTGAGGATGATTGAAATCACAATGATCTCCCTGCCCATCTAATCAATTAGGGCGTGACCCTTAAATATTCCTCAGGTATCTTGCCCGCAATTTCAAGTAATCTCGGTCATTTCGATAGCAGACTGGAAAATTGGCTTGAGAGAGCAAGCAACACTTCAGGTGAGGTGATCAAATCCATATTCTTTGGTGAAATCAAGGAGACCATCACCTACTAATAATCAGTTTTCTTCTTGTCGCTGAGATAATTATCTACGTCTGCAATGCCTCTAATGAGTTCCAGCTTATACATTAACCCAAATGCATTTTTCCTGATGATAAAGTTTATTTTATGCCTAATTGACTTGTGTATTTGATCCCTCGCTTTTCTGTGTTATTTTGGACTGGGATATCGAGCTTGGAGAACACAAAACTGACCTTTGACCCTGAGAGTGGAATCTGATGACAAGTGGTTGGTCAATGACGTTTCTCAATCCCAGCATAAAGTGCCGCTGCTCAAAATGAAATTACTTGACTTGAAAAATGACCAGCAACCCTGTTCAGGCAGTAAATGGAGAAGTAGTGAGTTCAAATTTGACAATCAATAACTAGCCCCAATGAGTATGAAGTTAGTCACCGAAAATGCTCAATTCACCGCCAAAATGAATTGAATTCTCGAAAATACATTATTTACTAGATCCTATTTTATAAAATTAAAATTAATAATAATTAAGATGAGAACGACATTTTCAAATTTTGATGCATGATATTTTTCTAAAAGAAACTCTTCTCTGCAAAAGATGCGTTCGAAAGTTTTGGGAATTGCACCATATCTTCATGATTTAGCCTAATCAATTAATTGATTAATTATTAGACCAAAATATTAGAATTAGAATAGTAATCACTTGCAAAAATTAGGGCGTATAAATAGAATTATTTCTAAAGCGCAGCATTAATGAATTTAATCAATATAATAACGCGTCAATAAAATAATAGTGTCTCAGCAATTTTTAAATAATGAAATTGATTGATGTCAGATTTTATTTTAGACATATTCAAAATTATAGTTAGATTAGTGTGCCAAGCCTTGCAGTAAGAATGAATTTTAACCGAATCTTTCATAATGAAACGGTAGAGAAGATAGTAGAGTTAGATGGAGTAAATTAAAAAGTAAAGTAAGAAATTCAAGACGTTTGAATTAGAAGATGAAAAATACTAAAGAAATTTAAAATGAACTTATTTTATTCAAAAACTTGGTGGTTATTTCGTCTTCGAAATGTGTAGTGGATTGCTACCTTAGTAAAGCCTGACTGACTCAGAAATCTCTGTGGCAGATTCTCCCAGAACTAGCTAAGCTATAGCCCAGCTATAAAGGAAACAGGCGTATAGCGCGGAACACGTTTATTCAGTATTTTGCGGATAAAGTGTTCACGCA